TGCAGTACTCATGCATAAATTTTTGATTTGCTTTAAGTGTTATGCGCCTTCCTAATGGACATCGTTTCTTGGCCACTTACTAACCGATACCCTCAACGGTTTCAATTTCTTAATAAAGTGGGAGAAGGCGACGGTGTCGAGAATGCTCAATTTCGACATGGCATTCCACTTTGAACACTTAAAATTAATGGAAATAGATTTTACAAAAAGTCAGATACATCTTATTACGGGGAAAGAAGTTTTCTATCAGACGAAGCAGAATCCACTGGCGTTTTGACGCTTACAATTAGGGGTGGGTCTACGTACACCACACAATCCACTTCCCTTTTGAGTGGAACTCGAAAAGGTAGTGTTTGGGGGTGAATTGTGAGCCTTTTTTTACCGGAAATAACAAACGAGACCCATAAGTCATTGCGAGGTAGACTTCTAGCAGTAGGCCGACATTCTGAGCGGTTCTTTGAACCCTTCACTCTGAGATTAGAGGAACCGTGAAAAGTTGTTGGGCCTGTCCTTAACAAGTTTGCCTGCTGCAATAGGATGGAAAATTCAGGCTGGAACAGGAATGAAGTCGAGGCTGCTGACACTACTGGTACACGAAGACAACAACCAGTACTGGGTGTGTGGCGATTCTATCGTCGATGATAAGTAGGTCGCCGCGCTGGTGGGCGCCGCGTACGAGTCCTGCTGCGTCGTGCTCGTTGAAATTGTTAAAATGATCATCAAGCCATATTGTTTATGTTAATCCTGTACTGCTTGTCCCATTTTCCTATGATGATCAATGATTGTTTTTTCCGCATTCAAAAGTAAAGGGGTGTAAGACTGGTCCCACGTTATTTGTTCAAAATTACTGATCCAATTTTGGGCTTTTCGGAACTTGTGAATACGCGGTCTTCGAGACTCATTTGTATGTCGGTAATGCAACTCCGGAATTGTCGCACCGCGCCGCCGCGCGAGACGCCGCGACGCGATGTGCGCGACGTGACCTGACTTGCCGACGATAGAATCGCCCGGGTCCCACCAGTACTGCGTGGGCAAGTATTAGGTCTTCACAAACTGACCAATACAGCCTTTGCTGAGTTCCACTCCGCAGCTTCGCAAAAAATTAAAAGTCTTCAAGTTGACGGGGAAGAGCAAAATGCCACCCTTAAGCTGAGCAGCGCTAGTTTTTTATAATATGACCTCTTATTCCGGCGTATTCGAAACTTCTGAGCTTCCTGGTCCAGCGGTAATCCATTTGGTGATTTACCTGCACAACTCTACACATAGTTGCATCATATTGCTACCCATACACTTCCCATTTGTTTGTAGTAATCGGATCTTATCCTAGGGCTGAGGAAATCCTAAACTATGACCAGAACCCTTATTAAATTTGAGCTATTGCAAGCAGGCAGTTTTACTCGAGCTATTTTAAGAAGTTTACAACAGAATGATTCGTTCTTAAGTTTGTACGTTACAGAGAGAATTCCAATGACGCGGACGCAAAGTATCACACACTATCGATGACCTTCATTGAAGCTAATCGAGGAAATCGAACTTCCTAAGCCGAAAATGTAGTAATGCGATAAACATCAGTGTTGATAGGGGTGGGCGTACCGAATAAACCGTATAAAAGCGCCCGATGTTTGGTGGAATGGCAAGCATGACCGGCCGACGTAAGCATTGGGAATCTGAGGCACTCTCTCTCAGGAGAGTCGCCTTCTTCGGTGTGGCCCTTTCCACCGTGGCCACACTCATCTGCGTGATCTCCGTGCCAATGCTTTACAACTACATGCAGCACATGCAGTCGGTCATGCAAAACGAGGTCGACTTCTGCAAATCCCGCTCTGGAAACATCTGGAGAGAAGTCACTCGTACCCAGGTAAATTTCAGTTTTTCTTGGTTGCTTTAAGGCCTCAATTGATTTTAATAATTCCCTAAATTTAGACCCTCGTTGGATCCACAAGGAAAGCCCGTCAGGCCGGTGGTGGATGCTGCGGATGTGGTGTTTCTCCTGCTGGACCACCCGGACCACCTGGACAAGACGGAGAACCTGGAGCCGATGGTCAGCCTGGCCAGCCTGGTAGAGATGGACCCGATGGGCCACCAGCAACACCACCTCCCAACCCTCCCGCTCCATGCTTCAACTGCCCTGCTGGTCCTCCAGGACCAGCTGGAAACCCAGGAGGCAAGGGACAACCAGGAAACCCAGGACAAGATGGCCAGCCAGGAAATCCTGGACAGCCAGGAGGTGCAGGTCAGCCTGGACCACCAGGACCACCTGGAAACCCCGGTCAGCCTGGAAACCCTGGATCGCCAGGAGCCCCAGGACAACTCACCACAGTTCCCGGCTCACAGGGACCACCTGGACCAGCTGGACCTCCAGGACCTCCTGGACCCGATGGTCAGCCAGGAGCACCTGGAAACCCAGGACAAGATGGTGCACCAGGACAGCCAGGAGACAATGGACAGCCTGGTGGTCCAGGACAGCCAGGAGGTGACGGAACTGATGGAGAAGACGGTGACGGTGGAGCTCCAGGAGGCTGCGACCACTGCCCACCTCCTCGCACTGCTCCAGGATATTGAGCCCTTCTCGCTGAGGAGAACTTCAAACCAACCCAATATAGTTTTTGCCATAAAGAGTTTTTCAAAATATTGTGTTCCTTTCACTTCGATCACAACACACTTGACACGCTGTTCCTAGTAGCCGATATGAGTGAGAGACGGTGAAGATCCGTTTGAAGGCAAATTGTACAGTCACTCCGGTGGATACAGGTCTTTGCCATGTGCGAGGTAATTGTGAGCGTTCCACTTCCACCGTTTGAACACAGAAACGGGGCTGGAGGGTAGTGATACCCAGAGTGGCACGCTGGCCTAATCACTCAGCACATGGCAAGGGCTGTCCTCGGAGGTGAGTGCACAGTTTGTTTGGGGTTCCTACGTGTCCCACGGATTTCAAACGTATCTTACCTCCCCTCCACCCCTTGCATAATCTGTTTATCCATCGCTTTTGTACCACAGCGTTACAACACGATTGCTTTCGATTGCGTCTGCCTCCTAAAAATGTTAGTCCGGGTAAGTAGGTTCCGTTGCACACAAGTCAGTCTCATCACGCCTAATGTAACACGGGAAGTTGTGCCGCACTTTCCCAGAGGACAACCTGCCGCGCATTTTTGTCACCTACTTGTGGAAAGTGGAAGCACCGAGTGCGAAGGATTTCGCTGCAGAAACTTGCGACCCATAGCACATTCTGAAAGGAATGATGCATAAGATAGTAGTCATGGAGTCATGTCCGTGACATTTTTAGAAACAGTTCAAAGGTACGGTCCGCGATCAGGCATAGAAGTTGAAAATATGGCGTCCGGGAGGGTAGTGTGCCCGCTACGAACAACCTTGCACCGGTTTCGCGGCAAAAAAAA